ATGTCATCCCCGGTGAGGGCGCGGCGCTGCAGGCGAAAATCATTCGTTTCAAGAAATTGTTCAGTCAGTAGCGCTCCCAGGTCAGAGAGATGTTCTAAAAGTAGCAGTGTGACTTTAATAAATCAGGCTTGTGTTTTTAACATTATTGGCTACGTGTGGTGAGAAAGAAGTTCAACAAACAGTTCAGCTAATAGTTGGCAAATTGATTTTGGGAAGCCCATTACTTTTGGACACTCCCTCGTCCCCTGAATTGATTGTAAACTACTTTTGTTCGTTGTAACCCATAAAAGCATTTACCATTTGGTAGCATTCAATTCGGTTTATAGTATATACATACACTAACCATGTGAGTGTTACAGTTAGTTTATACATCACCATCAGTTATGGTCCATCCATGACTGGATGAAGGCCTCCCCAACCCAGTCGACATCTCTCACGGTTCCGTGATGTCACAATCCATCTACCACTGGTACACGAGCTATGATTATAAATAGAAAACGATTGATCTAAATGTACTGGGATCTTAAGTGAATGCAGTGCCATGGCGGGAACATCGGTATTGATCTCGGCAATGTGAATGGTGGTCGTTTTTGCAGGCGATTGCACCGAGAGTTCATACCGATCATTGTGCTGCCTTAAGAATCGATCAAAATGAATGTGAAGCGCACAGATTGAGCAAGCTATTACTGTGCATGCGTTACTGTGCAGCTGCTCTGGAAACATTTCACCTTACAGCACCCCAGCCGTTAAAGGCCATCGGCCCACTAGTAGCCTCCTGATGCATCAGCTACACACGAGTTGTGTATCGTTGAATTCATTCATTCGCTTTTTGCACAGAATGTGTAGTTTCGTCACAATGGCTGGACCAATATGACATTTATTGTGCTCGTTTTGCCTTCTTTTCGGCTTTATAATGCATGCACTCTGTCATTGAATCTTAAGGAAGTAGAAACAAATGCCATTTATGTCCACGTACAGCCCTGTTGTCATTCCAATTCTGGATGAGGGCCTCGCCCACATCCCACTGATCATAAGGGTCGGGCACATATAGATGGAGTAGAGCACAGTACAACAAAATATTTAGCTGCACTAAACTAAACCAAACATTTTATCCATAATAGAGTTTTTTTGGGTTAGAGCGCGTAAATATATAAATGTGTCGTTAAAACCCGACACCACCCGACACAGCCAACAAGTAAGGGTTAAATATTGACTTAAAGCTTTCGTGACTGCAGGAATTCATATTCTTTGGCTCTTTTGGTTTAGCCACGCAGGTATAAAAATATTATAAAAATATCACGACATTTCGATCGCTACACAAGCAATCGTCATCAGGTGAAAAATATAGCGGGAGAGCTGCTGAGGCAGGATGCTATATAGGTTTGAGATGGGTGTGGCCCAAGGGTAAGTGGGCGGGGCTAGATATGGGTGTGGCCCAAGGGCAAGTGGGCGGGGCTAGAGATAGGTGTAGCCCAAGGGTAAGTGGGCGGGGCTAGAGATGGGTGTGGCCCAGGGGTAAGTGGGCGGGGCTAGAGATGGGTATGGCCCAAGGGTTAGTGGGCGGGGCTGGAGATGGAATCTGCGTGTAAATTTAAGATCGGAGAGCTGATATACCTCCACGACTACGAAGCTGTGGAGGTGGCAATTGTATTGTGAGAGATTAGCATGTCAATGTAAGAGAACCACCGCAAACACAATCCAGGTTCGATTCAACACAGTACATAAAATTCGTGATCTCATCCCATCTGAAGGATGTGATCCCTGACATGCAATACCCCGGTGTCTACAAATTAAGTTTGCGGCAGTAGTTACATTGTGGAAACAAAGCGACATGTCTCGGACTGTGTTCATGGACATAAGGCAGATCTGAAACACGGTAGGACCAATACCTCGGCCGTGGCTGATCATTGTTTTAACGCTGTGGGCGCACACGAAATAGATTTTTCCAAGACGAAGGTACTCTGCAAACCCACTGGCTATTAACAAAGATTTGTTCATGAAGCCATCCAGATATATAGACAGACAATTTCAACCGAGAAGATGGGTACAAACTGAGCAATCACTGGAAGGACGTTAACCAGTTTAAGTCATAACTGGCTGTGATGTTTCCATCCTACCTGCCGATGTTAGCAGTTATTTCCGACTCTCTAGTTACATTACCAGGTTAAATGTCTTTACATTAACAGGCTAAATGTTTCACTAACACAGCCACCGTTGCGGTGGGTCTCTTACATTGACATGCTAATCTCTCACAATACGATGGCCAACTCCATAGCTTTGTTTTCCTCGATGTGGCGGTGGCACCCGGTTTTCTTACATTGACATGCTAATCTTACACAATACAATGGCCACCTCCACAGCTTCATAGTCTTGGAGGTATATCAGCTCTCCGATCTGACATTTACACGCAAATTCCATCTCTAGCCCTGCCCACTTATCCTTGGGCTACACCCATCTCAAACCTATATAACATCCTGCCTCAGCAGCTCTCCCGCTATATTATTTCACCTGATGACGATTGCTTGTGTTGCGATCGAAACGTCATGATATATTTTTTTTTATCTACATGGCTTTACCGAAAGACCCAAATAATATAAATAGTAAGGGTTGTCACGTAAACAGAACATGCCAATGCATCACAAGTACAGCACACCGGTGTGTTGGAGAGCCAAGCCACAAGATATTGCTCGCGAAAGCCTACGTGTTAAAACTAAACTTTATATATTACCAGGTAAGGCCCACTGAGCTATTTAGTTATTTTTCAGAATAACCTGCTGACAAATAATAGCTCAACGAAGTGGCTTATGGGGAAATTTATTGTAGCCAAATACTGTAAACACACATTGATTCTAAATGTGAAAGGAAAAACCAGAGGACCTGGAGAAAACTCCACACGACTGCATTGGCCCATAGCCCTATGACAATGATAATGCTATATATGGCATAATTCTTAATAAGACAGCATACATGTTATTTAAGGTGGCATAAATATTATTGAGTGCATGGGCGGTGGCACACCCATTACGCCACTGAGTGATGTCACTTCTCGTCGGTACTCTCAATATTTATGAGCAGGAGCGTGCTCATAAATATTCATTAGATTGCAGGGGGAATTTTTGCGTTTCCCCCCTCCTCCCTGACTTCTACAGTGAATGGCAGAATCAGTCTATTGGGGTCAAAGTAATATCATCCCTTTTTACATCATGAGGCCTCTTTTGCCAGTACCAAAATATAAGAATAGTTTTTTCCCTTCTAGATTTGAAGTTTTCGTGACTGCAAGGATCCATAATCTTTGTTTCTTTCTGTAAAGCCACGTAGGTGAAAAAAATAAAATAAAGTTAATCACGACGTTTCGATTGCAACACAAGCAATCATCATCAGGTGTGACAACCACAGCAATATTTTTTTTTTACTGAAGTGGGAGAGATGCCAGAGTTAGGGCAGTTAAATAAGTCAGAGAGGGGGAGGGTGCTGGGGGGAGAGGGAGGGGGCGAATGGGGAGAGGAAGGATGAACTAGGCAAGGACGCTGAGAGCAGAGAAGCAACATGATTGCTGCAGTAAAAAAATGTATTGCTGTGGTTGTCACACCTGATGATGATTGCTTGTGTTGCAATCTAAACGTCGTGATTTATTTAATTTTTTTCACCCACGTGACTTTTACCGAAAGAACCAAAGAATATAGTTTTTTTTCCCCTTTTTTCTGGCAACAAAACTGAAACCTTTTTTACGAGGAATCACGTCTGCATTAACCACAATACTTGTGGTCAGAATGAAAAAAAAATGCGAATATATGCATTGTCCTTGAAACTGATTGGTCTACACCAGAGACAGCTGCTTTCTTTTGAGCCTAGTCTCAAACGGTGTTAGACCAGAGGACGCCAAAAGGCGTACAGTTGTCGTCCTGTGGTTGACCACCGTTTGAGACGAGGCTCAAAATAAAGCTGTCTCTGGCGTAGACCAATCAGTCTCAAGGACAATGCGTATATTATCAGAGTATACTCTTTGGTTCTTTCGGTAAAGTCACGTAGGTATAAAATAAAATAAATCACGACGTTTCGGGCGCGACACAAGCGAAAGAACCAAAGAGTATGGATTCCTGCAGTCACGAAAGCTTCAAATCAAGATTATCAGAGTGTTTTTTTTCATTCTGACCACAACTATTGTGGTTAATGCAGACGTGATTCCTCGTAAAAAGGTTTCAGTTTTGTTGCCAGAAAAAAGGGGAAAAACCTATCCTTCTAATATCATCCCTTTGTCAATTTACTGCTGGAAAATGGCTTGCCCCTGCTATGTAGGTCATGGGGGCTGTTTTACCATACTTCACTACGTTGGTCATCGCTGGTTGGTGTATTATGTAAGAGTGTCCTCCTAATCTCAGCTCGTTACCTGTATAAAAAGACACCTGGGAGCCAGAAATCTTTCTGATTGAGAGGGGGTCAAATACTTATTTCCCTCATTAAAATGCAAATCAATTTATAACGTTTTTGACATGTGTTTTTAATCTCGATTTTTTTGTTGTTATTCTGTCTCTCACTGTTCAAATAAACCTACCATTAAAATTATAGACTGATCATTTCTTTGTCAGTGGGCAAACGTACAAAATCAGCAGGGGATCAAATACTTTTTTCCCTCACTGTATTGTTGAACTTCTTTCGCACCGTATGTAGCAAGCCATGGTAATCGGAGGCGTCAAGGAGGGGGGGAAAACCAGTTCCGATATAATATTTCACTTATGTACCCACAGTCGGGAATAGAACTCGGGTTGCAAAGTTCATAGCACAGTCAACGAACCACTGTGCCACCTCTGCACAAGTCTTTTATTTACCCCGGTAGTAACGTGCATAGTTAACTGGATTTTGATGGCGGGAGACATCTTGCATGTGCAGGGTGGGATTGTTGAAATGTTATTTTTACTTAAAACAAAATACCTTTCAGCAAACGCGCATGCTGAGGTCGACGGTGCTGCGCCCCCTTCCGCTTCTCGTTTTTTTTCCCGCAGGTGCGTGATCTGCATGCTGGAGTTTGTGTGTGGAGACGCGGTGCGCTTCCTGCCCTGCCTGCACACCTACCACGTGGAGTGCATCGACGACTGGCTCATGCGCTCCTTCACCTGCCCCTCATGCATGGAGCCCGTTGACGCCGCTCTGCTCTCCACCTACGAGACGGGATGACGCCCGCGCGTGCCCGCGCGTGCCCGCACGCGCATGTGCCCGCACGCGCATGTGCCCGCACGCTCGCTCACTCGCTCACAAAGTAGGCACATTGTGACCAACGGTTTGATGATGGGATTGGGCAGCTTGCCTCGATTTACGGGATTGGTCGATTGAATAGTGTCAGAATTCATTGTGTACAATTGGATTATTTCCGAGGCAATTGATAATCCGATTATCACAGAATATCCATCTCTGCGTGAAAAGGCCAATCTCTTGCGAAGCTGGCAATGTAACATCCGTCACGTGTCCCTGCTCATTTAGCGGCTGACGCAAATGGTTCGCATGGAGATCCAAACCTTGGAGCTCACCAAGCATCTTACTGCCGACTTAATTCGATTTTAAATTATTTAAATTTGACAAACTAGGCCTGTCATCAAATTCACCGGCAGACTTCGTCATCATAAATTATCTCCAAGGCAAATAAATATTTTGGCTTCGGTTAGTCGCGAATGTTAATCGGCACCCGGTACTAAATTTATTACTGCGCTGGGTGCGATGTCCCGAGGCTTACGCACCTGAAGCCTATTTGGCTTTGCACGTGTGCAGTTGTGACAGAAGCTGCCCAAACCATCGATGTTGCGTCGTCAAAGTGGGGAGAGCGAGCGTCTGTTGTTTATCCTTTCCCTATCCCTGCCCCAGCAGCAGTGTGCCCGAGGTACTGCATCTCCTCGATCAGTGTTTCTTCCTGGTCCTGAGCAAGGCTGGGCTGGTCAGGTTTATTTACTGCGACGGTCTGTTCCCTTCGAATTATAAGTGTACCCAGGATGCCATAAGATAACATTATCTGTTGTTCTGTAAGAGAATTGGTTAACTTATCAGTGGTATCACCGCCTCTTCAACAAGATATGGTGGGGTTGAGAGCAGTTTAAGAATAATTATGGTGTAATTTTAATTAAGTGACATCACTTTTTTTTTTACAAATCTAACGTACAATAAGTTTCTGTGATGGCTTGGGGGAGGCCATCATACAGCAATATATTGGTCATGGCTGACGTTGAAGGGATTCAGTGATGTTACGCCCTTACTCGCTTCAAAATTATTTTGGAACATGTTACTAATTGGGTAAAAGTAAAATGTTAAAACATCTTTTCCTTCCAAGATATAGTTTGTTTGGGGAAAAACCAAAATACTTCCCACCTGATTTCTTTTCAATCAGCCCCTCTCACCTCCCCCCCCCCGCCCTCCCCCCCCCATCCTCACAGGTTCCTGACAGAGCTCAATTGTGAGTTTAACCCCAGTGTGGACTGCAAAGTCTCAATTGGTGCCCGGAGAGTGAACAGGGAAGCGGGTGGTGAGCAAGCAGGCACGCTGTGGTGGCTAACGCCGATGAGAACGTAGGTTGACCTTGCCGCAGCCCTCAGACTTCCTTCCACGAAGACGGGCATCGCATCTCCCTACAACTCGGTATTGGAGAGAGAGAAAAAAAAAAACGTTCCCGCGGGTTTAGAGTTTATGCAATCGTGGCAGTGTGTGATTGTGCACTCCGGTGTCATGCATTCAATGTGCACTTTTTTTTTCTTCCCCTCTATCATTTCTTGTGGGTGCATTTGACGGCTATTGAGTCTGCACCCATCCTCCTGTGTAACAGTACCCGTATTTGGCCGTGCACTTGGTGCTTGGTTGCCTGCTGACCGAGTGCCGTGCCAATGTTTTTGTGCGCACACCGCGCTGGTCCTCTTCTGGACGAGTGTGGAGATGAAGTTGTGGACGACAAGACCCCGGGGTTTGAGGCTTTTTGTGTGCTTTGAACCTGATGGTGGGGGCGGGGTGGGGGCGCTGCTCAGCTATAAACAGCACGGTTAGTGTTTGCGGGCGTGTAAAGTTCTTGTGTGACATGCTGTAAAGTGTTCGCACAAACGCACGGATGCTTCGTTTTTTAGTCCCAATGCTCCATTGTAAGCTTCTCCCAGCCTTTGTAAGCAATTGTATTTCTGACCAACAAATGTGATTGGAAATTTGATCAATATTGCTGAATTGTGATAAATATATCTACTGGTAGTTTTAAAGATGTTAAGTAAAAAAAAAACTGGTGGGCAGTAGGTGCTATAACTTTGTTTTTAGTAGTGTTTTATGGAGCGATAAATAATCATTAGCGATAACTGTAGCTGTATATGCTAAGGATGTGGTTGTTACAAAAAAAATTTAGCTTTCAACTTTCACTGATACGTTGATGTATGCTGTGTTTCATACCCCAGTTAGAGTACCAAGTCACCACCACTGAGATCACGTGATTAAAACCTGGCCTGCCATGTGCGATTTAAAGCAATTTATTTCTCACCATCTAGTAGCAAATGGTCTCAAGCAAGGCAGCAAAGCTTACATGAAACCATATTGCAAAGGAGAAATTTACTATTGCGAATGTAATTTCCTTCCACTATGAATGATTAATGCATAGGTAGATAGGGAAGGGGCGAATCGCTCATCTGCACAGCTAAGGAACCACCTTCACGTGATCGTGGTGAGAAAGAGGATCCACATCAGAGGCAATGACGGCCTTGGTCCTGTTGTGTGTCTTCCAAGGAAGGGCATGCCACCGATAGCGCTGGTCAATACGTACAACCCCAATCTTGAGTTATTATACATCACATACACGATGCATATCGTTATGACAGGTGCAACATTGCTAATGGATATCGTTGAGTAAGCAATAGCTTGCTGCTCAGTTTCAAAGTATTGCCCAATTTCGGCAATACTTTGCACTGGGCAATACCAACTTACTGCCAATACATTTAGAAATTACCTGTGAATTGGGCAATACTAAGTCGCTGCGATTGCTGCTGTGATTGTAAAGGCATTCGGTGATATTAACATAGCGTAAAAAAAATCCAGAATGCGCGTTGCTCGTCCTGGTATGAATATTCATCAGCCATATCCGGACACTGCCACAAACGTACTCTTTCCCCCTCCCCATGGCAGTCATCATTGGCTACTGAACAACCACCATCATGGACATTTAGTACGATACTTGCATGTCCCAACAATAACATTCAATTACAAAGCAGCTCACTGCAACGGCATGTCAAGATGCTTTGTCACAATTACCCTGGACAATGCATCCGTGTATCGCCTGCACAATTGCCAGATTGACACGAGGCTACAGTGATGCCTCGCTTTGATCTCTGCAGGGCATTTCTTGATGGGCTGACGACTACCGCACTCCTTGCCTTGAAGCCAGTGGCATAATTACAATAAATCCTTTAAACAACCAAAAATCATACTAACATTTATTTAAACCGCTATTATCTGGTACCTTGGATATGAATCACGGTATTGCACAAAGCATATCAATACAGTGACAGTTCGCTTTTAACTTAGTTGTGTGTGTTTTTGGCAGATTAGCCTAGACGGTCAGTACGCTCGCCTCCAATTTAAGGTTCGCAAATTCACTCCCAATCTGCCTCCTCAAAAAGAATCACTACGGCGACAGATATTGCTAATCCAAGTCCAGCGTGCACCGCCCAGTGCCACCATGTGAGTCTACAAATTGGAAGAATGCGTTACGGGAGATGGAAATTTAATGACACCCCTCAATGAGAATGCAGGCCAGGATTGAAGAATCAATCCAGCATCGGTCAGAGGGAGTGTGTGTGTGTGTGTGCTGGGTCGCTGATACAAATGACTGATTCCAGCACATTGATGAAGATGAGAATCATGGTCATGAGAAATCAAACATGCCATATTGTTGCACATGGTAGATTGCACTTCCCGTTAAATTATTTATCTGTTTGCAAACTTTACAATGTGATGGCACGAATTATTGTCACGTCCAATTATCCTTTGCAACTCTAGAGCACAATTGTGAACACTTGATTGTGTGTTTACTTCAGAGCGTTATTATTGTTATTACTGTATAATCTTCTTCTTTCGTGTGGCTGATGTAGATGCAGAGCAAAAACTACAATTTCAAGCCAGACAACCACACATTACTTCGCCCGGGAGAGTCCCTTCAAACAGTTGGAGGATCCCTGTCCCAGCGCCTATCTGGCATTGTTGTTTGGCCTTGAAGAGGGGCTTGTGTCGTTGTATTCAAGACCGGGTGATCGATGATCGATGTTCGGTCGCCGCGTTGATGGCGTTCGTCGTGATTTCTCGTTTAACACAGTGGACCGCGTGAAGGCTGCCATCTGTATAATTATCGTTCTTATAAAAGTGCAGGTCAGGAACATCGCTAGGCAACACTTACCCTGCTTGATTTGCACCACGCTTGTTTCAATGCTGTGTATAAACCAAGCCTAAACACAATGAAAGTAACGCAAAAAAAAAACATTGTTGCTCTGTGATATTGGCTCAATTTAACCATAACCAAAAGAAAAAAGCACATGGCTACACTTTTTGGAGACCCAATCGAAGGAACCGCGTGCATCTACAAACAAATTGAGGGCAAAGGGATAACTATTGCTCTTAATTGCCGACATGTAGAAGATATGTTCGTGCTTTGCAGATGCGTCGGGACCGGAAAATTGTCTTAAATGTCATGTCTCTTAACTCGCTTTTCTGTAGAGTTCCTTTACGAGCGATTTCGCCGTTTTGCACAATTGTTTACGTCGCTGCTGAGCTGATGATGATGTGGACCAGCACAGCTTTTATTTCTTCACCTCCCCCCCCCACTTAATTTCGTGAAACCCATGATCGCGTGCGCCACCGAGACGGCTCAGAGATGGAATGTGAAAGGGCCTGCTCTCAAGATAGAAATGTGTAGGCATTCTTAGTTTTACCCGATTCTGTGGGCGTTAATGAAAATATTTACAATCCCCAAGCTTGTGTGCGTTTTTTTGGTGTTTCATACAAAAGCAAAGAGACCCTCCCTGTGAGATTGCTTTTTTTTTTAGTCTGTTAAGGCAGTTGTTCACGAGCACCTACTAAGGCCGGCACAACACACGGTGTGTTGGAGGAGTCAAAAACTCCATTACTGATGTTCCACCGCCACCATTGCGCCAACAAATAGTTTTTATTGGCCCACTTGACCTAGGGGGGACCTTGGCCAGTATTGGGGCAGACCATGCCAGTCCTGCACTATTGACCACACGACACGTCACCAACATTCCATGTAGTCGTGTAACACACAAGAGATTACACATACGTGGGTGTATTTAATAAGCGGCCTATGACCAAATAATCCAAATGCGCCAGATTTGGTAAAATCTCGGAAGATAAGCAGGGTAGAGTCTGGATAGTGCTTGTCTGATTGGATGATGGGTGACCACATTGCACAGGGCCACGTATTGGGCAGCAGGGGGCGGTGCAGCAAAATCCATTGTTGTACTGCACTTCTAAACTCCCACATCTGTGCTTCCCTGCCTTCTCCAAGCCGTACTGACCAACGTGCTGTGATATGAACAAATAACACGACCCCCATGGTGTGGGGAGGCCTTCATCCAGCAGTGGATTGGCAAAAGGGCTTTACATATACGGATGTATATTCAGTGCATAGACACTATGTAAATATATACAACATAACCATTTTTCACCACGACACCTGTGATCTCCTCATACAGTGAGGGAAAAAGTATTTGATCCCCTGCTGATTTTGTACGTTTGCCCACTGATAAAGAAATTATCAGTCTATAATTTTAATGGTAGGTTTATTTGAACAGTGAGAGACAGAATAACAACAACAAAAATCCAGAAAAACGCATGTCAAAAATATTATAAATTGATTTGCATTTTAATGAGGGAAATAAGTATTTGACCCCCTCTCAATCAGACAGATTTCTGGCTCCCAGGTGTCTTTTATACAGGTAACGAGCTGAGATTAGGAGGACACTCTTAAAGGGAGTGCTCCTAATCTCAGCGTGTTACCTGTATAAAAGACATCTGTCCACAGAAGCAAACAATCAATCAGATTCCAAACTCTCCACAATGGCCAAGACCAAAGAGCTCTCCAAGGATGTCAGGGACAAGATTGTAGAACTACACAAGGCTGGAATGGGCTACAAGACCATTGCCCAGCAGCTTGGTGAGAAGGTGACAACAGTTGGTACGATGATTCGCAAATGGAAGAAACACAAAAGAACTGTCAATCTCCCTCGGCCTGGGGCTCCATGCAAGATCTCACCTCGTGGAGTTGCAATGATCATGAAAACTGTGAGGAATCAGCCCAGACCTACACGGGAGGATCTTGTCAATGATCTCAAGGCAGCTGGGACCATAGTCACCAAGAAAACAATTGGTAACACTACGCCGTGAAGGACTGAAATCCTGCAGCGCCCGCAAGGTCCCCCTGTTACAGAGAAAGCACATATACATGCCCGTCTGAAGTTTGCCAATGAACATCTGAATGATTCAGAGAACAACTTGGTGAAAGTGTTGTGGTCAGATGAGACCAAAATTGAGCTCTTTGGCATCAACTCAACTCGCCGTGTTTGGAGGAGGAGGAATGCTGCCTATGACCCCAAGAACACCATCCCCACCGTCAAACATGGAGGTGGAAACATGCTTTGGGGGTGTTTTTCTGCTAAGGGGACAGGACAACTTCACCGCATCAAAGGGACGATGGATGGTGCCCAAATCTTGGGTGAGAACCTCCTTCCCTCAGCCAGGGCATTGAAAATGGGTCGTGGATGGGTATTCCAGCATGACAATGACCCAAAACACACGGCCAAGGCAACAAAGGAGTGGCTCAAGAAGAAGCACATTTAGGTGCTGGAGTGGCCTAGCCAGTCTCCAGACCTTAATCCCATAGAAAATCTGTGGAGGGAGCTGAAGGTTCGAGTTGCCAAACGTCAGCCTCGAAACCTTAATGACTTGGAGAAGATCTGCAAAGAGGAGTGGGACAAAATCCCTCCTGAGATTGTGCAAACCTGGTGGCCAACTACAAGAAACGTCTGACCTCTGTGATTACCAACAAGGGTTTTGCCACCAAGTACTAAGTCATGTTTTGCAGAGGGGTCAAATACTTATTTCCCTCATTAAAATGCAAATCAATTTATAACATTTTTGACATGCTTTTTTCCGGATTTTTTTGTTGTTATTCTGTCTCTCACTGTTCAAATAAACCTACCATTAAAATTATAGACTGATCATTTCTTCGTCAGTGGGCAAACGTACAAAATCAGCAGGGGATCAAATACTTTTTTCCCTCACTGTATCCAGGGCCAAACAGATTGGCAAAGACGCTCATCACTGGAGGTTAAGCATCTAACAAATTTGACTCTCTCCGCCACTGAACCCTACACAATGATATTTGATTCATGCAGAGTTATGGTTTCGGCTCAAAGTCTCAACAGATAGAGCACTATCAACTCGGCGACCTGAGTTTGATTCCCTGCCACGGCTAACAGTGGCGAGCGATATTTGTGATACAAAATTCTGTTTTTTTGTTAAATCGTGTAAATATATTAATGTGTCGTTAAACCCACCACCACCCGACACAGCCAATTAGTAAGGTTTGTTGCATAAACAGAACATGCCAATTCGTTACCAGTGCAGCACACCAGTGTTTTGGGGAGCCAAGCCACAAAATTCACAATCTGAGTACGACGTTTCGCCAGTAATTACAACTAGCTTCATCAGGCAACAGCCAGTTTGGAAATGTGGCTTTCTCTCCAACACTGGTGTGCTGTCCTAGTAACGAATTGGCATGTTCTGTTTACGTGACAAACCTTACTAATTAGTTGTGTCGGGGTGTTGGCGGGTTTAACGACACATTTACACGATCTAACCCAAAACCTGTATCATGTATGATATTGGTCTTGAAAGCCTCCGTGTTAAACTGATATTTGCGATGTTTGAACCAGTCCCGGGCCCTCCGTCCTTCAACCCAACCCGCACTGATCAGTGCGGTTAAGTATGTTCAATTAGGGCACTGGCACCATCGCAAAAAGGGGATTGACAAAACGGCTGTAAATATTCTATGGTTTTTTAGGTAAAGTCACGTAGAGAAAATCATAACAAATAAAGTGATTAAAAAATATCACGACGTTTCGATCGCAACACAAGCGGTCGGCATCAGGAACAGGATGATGACGACCTGCGATCGAAACGTCGCGATTTTTTTTGATCACTTTATTTTTTCTATCTTTTGTGACTTTACCGAAAGAACCATAGAATATGAATTCCTGCAGTCACAAAAGTTTGAAGTCAAAATTCGGCTGTAAACAACTTCGTGTTGACCAGGGGTCGGCAACCTGCGGCTCGTGGTCAGCCGTTTAAAAAAAAAAACACCTTAATCTTCAACATAATTTAACGTAAATAATCGATAAAATATGGCAGGGAATGAGTCACCATGGGATGTCTTGGTGACAACGAAATGTGCAGTCAAACTCTATTGTTAAAGAATAACTTAGGGGGACAAAAGCTAAAAATACGCATTGTATTCCATCACATATTTTTTTGTATTTAAGTCAGAATATGTGTGCGTGTGTCATCTGTTGAATGCCTGCCGATGTGTTTGTGTACAAGTGGCTGTGCGTGTGATGCGGCTCTCCAACTATTTTGATCAAAGACAAAAAAAACGCGCAACGGCTCTTCCTTAAAAAGGTTGCCGACCCCCCCCTCCCCCATGGTCTTAACAAACGAGACGGTACACATTAGGCACGGGGACGTATCGAACAAGACGAATCATTGATTTTCGAATTGATTCGTGACCACGGTATTGTAGGGCAAAGGCAGGCGACTCATCGTTACAGACCTTCGAGAGGTCACGGCATATATCCTGGTCGTTGGAGGAAAGCAAGAATGGTCAGAAATGGAGCAAACTGTTCCTAAAAATTACATGTGTGAACGTGGGTACGTAACATGATGGTAAATACAAGTGCACGTCTGTGTAGTTGTTGACTACGTATATTGTACTGTACTTCAGCAAAGCGGCAGTGCGTATAGTTAGGCCGTACATGTATTCGCACATTGAATCCATGCAAACACGCATACATATTCGTAAGCGCATAAGTATGCACATGTATACGACTGTTTAATAATTGCTAAAGAAAACAATCTGAAACATGTCGGAGTAATAAAAAAAAAACAATGTTTTATTCGTTTGCCTGTATAATGTAACAGTATCCTTACGTATTTAACAAGTCTTTCGAATACTACACAAACGTATACTGTGGAAATTGTTCGCCAATAGCTCATCTCAAATGGTTTTCCTGAGCTATTGGCGAACAATTCCATATTCCGATGCCAAGGACCGCGTTTATGATGCAGCCTTATCTAGGCAAGGCTCCGTTAGATTATTCCGATCAAGAAAAAAAGATGTTGATGGCTGAAATCCAAGTAGTTCTATGAAGTCAGATATTCACGATTACTATGCAGTATGTGTATGCATCACCTGAGACAAAAAAAATCAACCGTCATGCACCGCGCGCTCCTTAGCCCTCGGCTAATAAGCAGGAATTAAGACTGCAATCCGAATTGTGATCTTCAGGGTAGGGACTTTGTTTACCACGGCCCTCGCTTCACCACACACACAATCGTAGGAAGTCTCATCGCTCCAATACCTCCCAATATGCGTCACACCCCCTTCAAATCTCCTCTGCTCAATATGTCTGGAACCTTCCAGCAGGCTCCTGTAATACTGTGTTTTTCACTGATTTTCAGAGGGGTGCGGCGCTTTCGCTGAGAAGACATCAGTAGTGTGAGGGTCGCCACACATTTCAACCCATTTGGGGTTGTATTGTGGGGGGGGGGGCACGAAAAGGCCACCAGTGGCCCGCGGGCCTTGCAATGAAGAGCACCGCTCTAATCTCCTCCACACTTCTGCTGTCCATCAACGCTGTACCTTAGCCTCTTTCTCCGCCTCTCACTCTCCCCATTACC